GGGCCCATTCCAACATCCTCCAAGAAACTGGGTGGGAGGGCTCGGAGAGGTCAGGGGTTGGGATCTCAGAAAACTTTACCCTGTAAGACCAACCCGGGGCCACCTCTCATCAAAGTCTTCCTCCAAGGCCCCTAGGACCAGCCCATGGTCCTACCCAAGAGTCCAGGGTCAGCCCATCACCTGGGGCCCCAATGGCTGGTGGTGCCCGTGGGGCGGTTGCAGGAGGGGACCGGAAGGCAGGGGTGAGGGGGGCTGTAGGAGGGGAAGCGAAGCTGAGCCCCGCCCCCACTTTCCCAGACCCCGGTAAAGGCTTCTCACCTCGCTCCCACCTCAGGCGGTGCCTCTCGGCCATGGACTGCAGCATCCACGTGGTTCGGAGTTTGTACAAGTAATTGCCGTACACCTTGACCTCGGTGAGGTTCGAGGATCCCAGAACCTTCAGCTCGAGCATGGTTCTGCTCACTTGCTCGATGTATGGGATTCGAGATCCCCCGGGGCCTGTTTGGGGAAGAGGATGAGCGCTGCGCGCCCTGGAGGCCCAGACGCCGGCCCCGGTTGGAGGTGCCTAGGGGTCCGAACCGGGCTCACTTACCAAACATGGCTTCCAGCAGCGCCGTCTGGACCCGGAACACCTGAGGACCTCTCAGGTCCTCGGGAACTTTCACCCACGGCGGGATATCTTTCCGTTTCGGCAGCGTCCCCATCTTGAATCCCTCGAAAGGAAAATCCCACTCAGAGTGATGGTAGGCCTAAGAGAAGGAACCCGCGCCGCGGCCGCGCCAAAGTTGAGCCCTGGGCAGGCCCCGCCCCCAGCCAGACCCCGCCCACCAGCCATGCAGGCCCCGCCCTCCAGCCAGGCCCCGCCCCGGAAAGGCCCGCCTCCGACCTGGAGGCCCAATCCTGCTGCCCACGACACCTCCTCCTGCCTGCACTCTGATCTAGCAGCTGACCTCCTGCAGCCTCCCGAGCAATCCTGGGCCCAGCTGTCCACAAGCTTACAAGTTTACAAGGGTTCCCACCTGCGTTGACTCTTCTGCACCAAAAACCCTGGGCCTTGGAAGTTCACGGGACAAAGGAGCTACTCTTGCCCCAGGAACGAGTGTTTGGGCCTGAACCCCAAGAAAGTGGAAATTCAGGGGGGTGGGGGAGGTCTGTTTGTTTTTGTTTTAAATATATTTTATTGATTTTTTACAAAGAGGAAGGGAGAGGGATAGAGTTAGAAACATCGATGAGAGAGAAACATCAATCAGCTGCCTCTTTCACACCCTCCACTGGGGATGTGCCTGGAACCAAGATACATGCCCTTGACTGGAATGGAACCTGGGACCTTTCAGCCCCCAGGCTGACCCTCTATCCACTGAGCCAAACCAGTCAGGGCTGAAAATCCAGGTTTAAGGGTGCGAGGACCGCCGGGGAGGGGGGGGGGGGGGGCGGGCGGCACCTGCCAAATCGAGGTTCAGCCTTTCAGCCTTCCACATTCCAAAGGAGGGTCCGTTTCCTTCTTTGAGGGTTGGATCCTGGGTCTTCACATCGCAGGTGTAAATTCTGGGACCTCAGGAGTAATTCCTGTCATTTAACAAAGAGGAACATGAGATTTAAAAATTCATCATCTTAAAGGGATTCCAAAGTACTCCCAGTGTTCGAGTTCCTCAAAGCCCCTGAGTCTGGAACTTTTGAATCTATTCCAATTTCAAAGTTTATCTGTGCTCTGCCTGGCCACTAGAACCAAACCGTATGGTCCAGACCTCTGGCTCTAAATAAACTGGTTTATTTATTTTAAAAAATATATTGCTTGCCCTAGCTGGTTTGGCTCAGTGAATAGAGCATCAGCCTGCAGACTGAAGGGTCCCAGGTTCGATTCCAGCCAAGGGCACATGCCTGGGTTGCAGCCTCCATCCTCAGTAGGGGGCGTGCAAGAGACAGCCGATCAGTGATTCTCATCACTGATGTTTCTATCTCTCTCTCCCTTCTCCCTTCCTCTCTGAAATCAATAAAAAGAAATATATTAAATATATTGCTTGAAGCGATGCACTGGATTCACCCAATGAGGGTATGATGTCAATGTTTTAGGGCTTCATGGATGGAGATAAAGCTGGATCTTCCCAAGGCCACCTGGGAACATCTATCTAGTAATCCCTCAGCTGGCTATTATGACCATGGCTTATTTAAAAATTCACATTTTTCTACCCTAAAAATTATAAAAACCAAACCTTTAGTCCTTTCTTAGGCTTCCAAGTTCCACTTTCAAACCCTATTATCCCATTCATAAGCATAGAAAGTTGTTTTTGTGTGTATGTATTTTTAACCCCCAGCTGAGGACATGCTTAGAGAGAGGAAAAGAGAGAGAGAAACATTGATGTGCATCAATTGGTTGTCTTTCATACAAACCCCAACCAGGGATGGAACCCCGAAACTCATGTATGTGCCCTGGCAACCTTTCCCTGCACAGGATGATCTTCAACCAACTGAGCAATTCTGACCAGGCAGAAAGTTGTGTGTGTGTGTGTGTGTGTGTGTGTGTGTGTGTGTGTTTAAGTATATTTTTATTGATTTCAGAGAGGGAGAGAGAGATAGAAACATCAATGATGAGATAGAATCTTCAATGGGCTGCTCCTGCATGCCCCACACTGGGGATCAAGCCCACAACCTGGGCATGTGCCCTTGGCTGGAATTGAACCCTTCAGTCTGAAGGCCAACACTCTAGCCACTGAGCCAAGCCAGCTAGGGCAAGGCAGAAAGCTTTAATGATAATGGTCTCTAAATATCAAAGGTTCCACTAACAAACTTAATTAACTAAATATCCCCATACTTGGTAAAGAGCATTGCAAGGTACTTTAAGTCTCAAATAACTTCCCAATTACCAAATAATTCCTATAAGTCAAATAAATAAAACTTATTCATATGCTGAACCTGAATTTCTCTTCAAGAATCCAATACTACATATAAACCAAGATTTCATCTTAACCCACATATCTAAATCAATTAATTATATATTTTAAATTGGAATTACAAAACCATTTCTCTAATATGTTAAATTATCTAAAATATTATAGGAAAATAAAATACCTTGCATATGGATTCCTTCTTTTTTAACCTCTCTGAAGAATACAGTACAATAAACTGCTTATACTAAAATGTGTACTATTTGGCCAATTTTGACATAGAGACACATCCAGTGGAAACTTCATTTAAATGCAGATTTTTAAAACATAATTACTAATATTATGGTTTTAATTATCTTAAATATTTTTATACCCAATTCTGAAACTTCAAGGAAGTAAAAGATCTGCACGCGTGCGCACGCACACACACACATACACACACACACACACACAGAAATGACAACAATATGCATAGAACTGCAAGTATCCTTATGTCAACTAAGAGGAAATATCATCCTATATCATTTTGGTAGAAGAAGTAGATTTCAGACTAGAGATTTTCATGGAGATGCTTCCTGGATTTGATATTTAGATTTCAATTTATAGTTGCTGTGTTAATGACTCCATAAGCTCCAGGGGAAACAGTTATGGAGCCCAGATCCTTGAGTTTCAGTTTTACATTCCTCTAATCCTTCTGCCTACCCACAGGGGGTTATAAGTTCATCCTGTGACCTTTTGTTTTGTTTTGTTTTTAAATCATGTTTCTTTTCTTTTATTTTTTTTATTGATTTCATAGAGGAAGGAAGAGGGAGAGATTGAAATGTCAATGATGAAAATCATTAATTGGCTACCTCCTGCACACACACCCCCACCCACCGGGACTGAGCCTGCAACCCAGGCATGTGCCTTTGACCAGAATTGAACCCAAGACCCTTCAGTCCCCAGGCTGACACTCTATCCACTCAGCCAGACCAGTCAAGGCAATCCTGCGGCCTTTTGAATTGGTGCTGCCTTTCTTTGGCTCCTAATGCATAGTCTGCTTAGGTCTCAAGACTGTGAACCATGTCAAACACCTACAAACTTCCCATGCACTTCTTTGGCCAACAGAACTCCATGGAGGATTGAAGGATAAACCTGAATTCTGAGGCTCTGAGCCCTCTGGATCTGGGCACGATACCCAACTACTGATGTGGGAGCTAAATAACTTCATCTTGCTGAGTAACAGTTAATAAGTAATGCTTTAAGCCGGGCAGAAAAATTGAGACGTGGAAATGTAATTGTGTCAGAGAACGAAGACATCAACAATGTCAAGGGACTCTCCTCTGATGTCCAAACCTCATGGACCACCTGCTGCTGGCTGTGGTCAGCTGTCTCTGGCAGATTAAGGAAGAAACTGGAAATGTGCTGCCTCTGGGTAAGGAGCTCATGGGGGTCAGGGGGTTCGGGGGGAAGTGGGAGACTTTAGCCCTTGAATACTATTTTACTCTTTGAGTTTTTGCTTATGTGTGTGTTTAATTAGTTTTCCATTAAAAAGTTATTCCAACTCCTCAAGAATGCTAAAATGGTCCCATTAGAACTGTCTGAAAAGGACCGGGGTCCCTGAAAATATCCGTCTGATTCACTACAGATATTGTGCAGCTGTTGGGTCTTCCCTATGACTCTAGATTAGGGGTGTCGAACTCAATCAGAGAAGGGGCCAAAATCTAAAATCCAGCCTAAATCGCGGGCCGAATGGTTTACTGAACAGTCATAAACTGTCATTGTGATGGAAATGCAGCGGAGTGCAGTGATGACAGCGCGGTGCGGGCCACATTGCAAGGCCTCATTGCAAGGCCTGGCGGGAGGGATTTGGCCCGCGGGCCTTGTGTTTGACACATGTGCTAGATCTCCGCCTCTCCCGCCCAGAGAGCCGGGAGGGGGGATGGGAGGAGAGGAGGGGAGGACTGGGCTGGTGGGAAAACACACACACACACACACACACACACACACACACACACACACACGCCAATAGAGCGCACCTGTTGCCATCTCGGATGGAAGCCGGCTGCGGAAAGCTAGGCCTGGAACCCAATGAGAAGGGCGCGAGTGGGGAGGAGCTTGCCCCAGTCCTTATAACAAGGCCCGGGCCCCAGGGCAGCTGCCCAGGCCAGGCCCACTTGCATCTGCACCAGCCTCTCTGCGTGCCCCGCCGCGGCATGGCCACCGCCCAGCGCTTCCCCACGCTCGTGCCGCTGGAGCAGCGGAGCGGGGCGCCGTTCCAGGTGCTGGGTGACAGCGCCAAGCAGCCCTACTGGTTCCACAGCGAGTACCTCAAGAGCCCCAAGGCGGTCCGCCTGGAGGCGTGGCTGGTGGAAGCGATCTTCGGTGAGAGGCCTCCCTTCCCCAGCTCCTGTCGCCCAGGCTGCCCGCACCTCGGGGCAAGCCTCCGCGGCGGCCCTGGCCATGCTCCGCTCCTCCGGGCACCTCCCCTGCCAGCGCTCCCCTCACCGCCTTTCCCCTCCGGCGCAGGTGCTGGCGGAGAGCACATCCCGCACGTCGAGTGTGTGTCGCAGACCCTGCTTCGCGTTCACCAGTGGGACCCTGAAGGCGAGGCCGAGATCTTGATATTTGGCCGGCCTTCTTACCAAAAGGATGTGTCCAAGATGATCCTGAACTTGGCTCACTATCACCGCCAACTCCGGTCTCAAGGTAGGGAGGGCGGGAGGAGTGAGGGGGGGAACCCTGGGCAGGCCTTGGCTTGCTTGGGGGAGGGACCCTGAGGCTTCCTGGGTGTGCCCGGGCAGCGGTCTCCTCCTCTTAGTCCGCCCCCGGGAATGGGCTTCCTTTCTGCGAGGCGTCTAGAAGGCCAAGTTGACCCCGTGCTCTCAGATGCCGCCCCCCCGCAGCCCTTACGGATGGCTCCTGTGGGGGGAGAGTGGGGGCACAGGTGCCTCCTCACCTGGTCATCTTGCAGGCTCGTACAGGAACGCCGCGCACCAGGCCGAGCCGCGGAACTTATCCGCTGCAGTCCGGCTGGCTGCGGTCCAGGTCTCCCCCGACAGAACCCTGATGGCCAAGACCCAGCGCTCCCCCGACAATGTGCAAGAGGAGGCGACCCAGCGGCCCCCCGAGGATGTGCAAGAGGAGGCGACCCAGCGGCCCCCCGAGGATGTGCAAGAGGAGGCGACCCAGCGGCCCCCCGATTCTGTGCAAGAGGAGGCGACCCAGCGGCCCCCCGATTCTGTGCAAGAGGAGGCGACCCAGCGGCCCCCCGATTCTGTGCAAGAGGAGGCGACCCAGCGGCCCCCCGAGGATGTGCAAGAGGAGGCGACCCAGCGATCCCCTGACGATGTCAAGGAGAAGGCAACCCAGGGGTCCCCCGAGGATGTTCAAGAGAAAGCCACCCAGCGATCCCCTGACGATGTCCAGGAGAAGGCGACCCAGCGGTCCCCCGAGGATGTTCAAGAGAAAGCCACCCAGCGATCCCCTGACGATGTCCAGGAGAAGGCCACACAGCGGTCCCCCGATTCTGCGCAAGAGAAGGCGACTCAGCGGTCCCCCGATGCTGTCCAGGAGAAGGCGACTCAGCGGTCCCCCGATGCTGTCCAGGAGAAGGCGACTCAGCGGTCCCCCGATGCTGTCCAGGAGAAGGCGACTCAGCGGTCCCCCGATGTTGTCCAGGAGAAGGCGACACAGCGCTCCCCCGATGCTGTCCGCGAGGTGGCGACCCAGCTGTTCCCCAACACAGTCTAGGAGGCGGCGGCCCGGAGCTACCCCACCACTACCCAGGTCCCCGTTCCCAGGTTATGAAGGCATTTCGGGGCCCCGGAGTGCGAGCCAGCAAGGTTCAAGAGAAAAACCCCCTCTGGAGACCTATGCTTGGTCCTGCTTCTGCCGCAGAAGCTGGGGGGAGCACAGGGTGGTGGTGTGGGTTGTTCTTGGTTTCCCCTCCTCACCCCCACCCCATGTTAAATGTTTGCAAACACAAATCTAAAAAGTTGTAACAAAAGAATCAATGTCCTTAATAAAGAATTGAATTGCCTGCTGTCTGTTAATGGGCAGGTAGAAGGCGAGGAGGCAATATCTGCTCTAGGCTGTTTTCTATCTTACAGGCAGGTGAGGCCTGTTGGGTTTCTGGCGAACAGAGGTCGCACACACCTGGCTTTGCCAGCTGAGCGGCCCCTCTGGTCAAGGAGTCTGCCCTCCCTTGGAGACTTCTCCAAACCTGGGTGGAGCCCCCTTTGTCACTGTTTAAAATTGAAGAATATTTGAAATACAGTGTAAACTTCAGGTGTTGAACATGTTAATTTGATAACACTATGAATGCCGTTGTAGCAGTAATTAGCAACTGTCAGATTTGGCTTCTGGTTCCAGGCAGCTCCAACACCAGGTGCCTGCTAGAAGGAAGCAAACTGTTAACAGCTGGATGCTGGGATTAAAAAACAAGAACAAACACCAATCTCAGTGTTAGGAAAGCTTTCATTTTTGAAAAATCAAGGGGCCCGCTGATGTGCTCAGGGGACTGATTATCCTCCCATGCACCGACTGAGGTCAGTTTCATTGGATTCCGTCAGGGCACAAGCCTGGGTTTGGGGCTCCAGGGCTCCAGTAGGGGGCATGCAGGAGACAGCCAATTGATATTTCTCTATCATAGATGTTTTTCTCCCGTGTCCTTCCTCTCTAAAGTAAAAACATCTTAAAAATTAAGACACAAAAAAAAATTTAAGGCCCTAAAAATTTGAGCCCCAGTTTGGCTCAGTGCATAGAGCTTAGGCCTTCGAACTAACAGGTCCGGGGTTCAATTCCACTTACTCAGGATTTCTGGCCTTGGTCAGGGTGCATGTGGGAGGCAACCAATTGATATGTCTCTCTCTTTCTGTTTCTCCCCCTCCTTCCACACTCTCTAAAAACAAAAATCAATGGAAAAATATCCTCAGATGAGGATTAAAAAGAAAAATTTTAAAGAGAACTTCACTTTAAAGATCAGGGCAGTGGTATGCCTGTCACAGGCCTTTGGTTACCACTAATATTGGTCACTGGATGAAAGGGGCCACACGCTAACCTGACAAGCTCAGGGAAGGCCTGCACGGCTGTCTTGCAAACTTCACAAAGGATGATCTGAAATTAAACTTTAAAAGCACTTACGGTGGGTAGTTAATGTGCTAGGCCAGTGGTCAGCAAACTGATTAGTCAACAGAGTCAAATATCAACAGTACAACGATTGAAATTTCTTTTGAGAACCAAATTGTTTAAACTTCTTCTAGCTTAAAATAGACTCGCCCAGGCCGTGGTATTTTGTGGCAGAGCCACGCTCTAGAGGCCAAAGAGCCGAGTGTGGCTCGAGAGCCGCAGTTTGCCAACCACGGTCCTAGGCCAGTATCTTCACTGACAAGATCAACCTTTACCTTAACTGAACTTATCTTTTTGCATCTATAATAACATACTAGTATCCTTGAAATGTCTGGGTAACTTGTAACTTTCCTTTTTCCAGACCTCTAGAGGTACAACCTAATGGCCCTGGGCCCTGGGGCAGATACAATAAATTCCTTCATTATCATGTTAATTATTCCTGTATCCACCTAAGTGAGTGTCTATCATTTCACTTTTTATGCAATCCCAGAGGTTCCCCCCCCTGCTTTCTTTCTCCCACCTCTAATCTATCACCATTGGATTTCACATAACCCACCTATGTCCCTTCCTTGATGTATAAAAATAGATTTTTTTAAAAAAACAAAAAACTCCATTCTCTGGAGCATTATCCCAACCCATTGAGTTACTGCTTCCCTGCAATTGTGGACAGTTTGGCTCAAACACAAAAGTTCTTTACAGGTTTGAATGTTTTTACATTAACATCACTCCAATTTTAAATAGTTTATTTTATAATAAGAACAAAGATAAAATGTATTTACAATAGGTTATTAACTATTTTTAGAAGAGGCAAGAAAATCCTAGGTACTTTTTCCCCCCACATTTTATCAGACATGGCTCTGGTTCTGGTAGGCTCAGCTCATGGCCCCCAGCTAGAGGACAGTGGTTCCATACAAAAAAAATAAAAAATCTCAGGGCACACAGTAACCCCACAAAGCAACACTCTAAAGATTATTATAGCCGAAACCGGTTTGGCTCAGTGGACAAAGCGTCGGCCTGTGGACTGAGGGTCCCAGGTTCAATTCAGGTCAAGGGCATGTACAGTACCTTGGTTGCGGGCACATCCCCAGTAGGGGGTGTGCAAGAGGCATCTAATCAATGATTCTCTCTCATCGATGTTTCTAAATTTCTATCCCTCTCTCTTCCTCTCTGTAAAAAATCAATAAAATATATTTAATTAAAAAAAAAAAGATTATTATAGGTCAGAGACTGCAGGGCTGCTCCACAGACATACAAACAGGTCAAATCTTTATAAATAAACATCTAGTGAAAATGACAACTCGAATTGATCCCTATACACAGCACTCTAGGGCAGGTAAATGGGTGGGGTGGCTAGAAGCCACCATCCTCACTGAGTGGGGGACCTGGATGGGTGATGATGAGTGGGCCCAGATGTCCATGGTACAGGGCGGGTGGGGCAACAGACGATGGAGACTAAAACACTGTGCATTTACAGTGGGAGTAAGGAGGACAGCTGCCTGGTGCATGTATATCAGGCTGTTCATTCTGGAATGACACCCTCTACTGGGGATGTGCCCACAACCAAGGTATATGCCCTTGACCTGAATCGAACCTGGGACCCTTCAGTCCACAGGCCGATGCTCTATCCACTGAGCCAAACCGGTTTCGACTATAATAATCTTTAGAGTGTTGCTTTGAGGGGTTACTGTGTGCCCTGAGATTTTTTTTTTTTTATTTTTTTTTTTGTATGGAACCACTGTCCTCTAGCTGCGGGGCCATGAGCTGGGCCTACCAGGCCCAGAGCCATGTCCAATAAAATGTGAAAAAAAAGTACCTAGGAAGTGAATCTAAAAACCAAGGGAATTTAAAAATCTGATGAGCAATATTAACTGGTGAATATAATAGAATCAGAGGTATGGAAGGGGAGTGGACTGACGATTCTCAGGGAAAAGGGGAGTGGGGGTGGGGAAGAGACTGAACAAAAACTGTGCACCTATGGATGAGGACAATGGGGGATGGGGAAAGGACAGAGGGTGGGGTAGGAACCTGGTGAAGGGGAGCAATTGAGGGGGGGAAGAGGATCACATTTGTAATCATCTGAACAATAAAGATTTATTTTTTTTAAAAAAAGTACCTAGGATTTTCTTGCCTCTTCTAAAAATAGTTAATAACCTATTGTAAATACATTTTATCTTTGTTCTTATTATAAAATAAACTATTTAAAATTGGAGTGATGTTAATGTAAAAACATTCAAACCTGTAACCCCCAATGAGGAGGGGGTGATCTTTACATCATATCCTGTGGCTTGTGGGCTTAGAGAGGAGCTACTCTGTGGAGAGGATGAGGGTGACGATGAGACCATAGAGACCCAGCACCTCTGCGAAAATGAGGATCAAGATCATGCCCACGAATAGTCAGGGCTGCTGGGCAGTTTCTGCACTCCGGCGTCACCCACAATGCCAATGGCAAAGCCAGCTGCCAGCCCACCGAGGCCCACACTCAGTCCAGCTCCCAGTTGGAGGGAACTCCTGTAGAGACTTATGCCTTCATTCAGGGAGTTGACAATAAGGACTGCCACCACCAGGCCATAGAGGGCAATGCTGTCAGCCATGACCGCTGGGATGATGGACTTCATTGTCAGCTCTGGTCGCATGACAGACATGGCCGTAATGCCGGTGCCACTCTTGGTGGGACCATAGGCAGCACCCAAGGCGCTGAAGATCACGGCGGCCAAGGAGCCCATAACCGCGAGAAAGGAGGCGTACTCGGGACCGCAGCTCTTGAGCTCGGACAGGTCTGCGGGTGGGGAGGGGGCGAGCTCGAGAACCAGCTGGGCGAGATGGGCAGGCACACGTGGCTGCGAAAGCTCAATCCTAGGTACTTCTATTCAAAACTCAAATTCAATGTAGACTCAAAGTTTCAATTGAGGCTACAGAGTATAACAAGACTCAATTTTGATCCCCGCCCCCCCTTTAAGTAGTCCCCACATGACCAGAATTGCAGATTCTCTCCTTTATAAGATTACTGATCAAAGTCCCTATCTTTATTTTTTATAATATTTTATTTATTTTTTTACAGTGAGGAAGGGAAGAGGGATAGAGAGTTAGAAAAGTCAATGAGAGAGAAACATTGATTAGCTTCCTCCTACAAACCCCTACTGGGGATGTGCCCGAAACCAAGGTACATGCTCTCTCTTCCCCCAACTGTATCAGACCTGGGACCCTTCAGTCCTCAGGCCCAAGTTCTATCCACTGAGCCAAACCAGTTAGGGCCAAAGTCCCTATCTTATACTCCTCCTTATCTGCCTTTATAAGAAATCACTTTTAACTGTTTGATTTGTACTTTTACATAATTGCACATAACTTTTTTCTTCTGGTAACTTGATTTTCCTCAGTATGAATACATTCGAACCTTTCCCTTACTGCTGGTTGATTAGTTCCCCAAATTTCTCAGTCATAAACTGTTGTGTTGAATTTCTCCTTTGTGTCCATGTTGGGGTGTGGCAAAAGTAGGTTTAGAATTGTGAGCACCTAAAACCGTTTATTCTTGCATTATTATTTTCCACTAGGGCCTACTTCTGCCACACACTGTGTCTATGGGAGCCTTTCTAAGAAGTGGAATTGCCAGCACTTCATAAGAATGAGCACCTTTAAAATTTTATACTGCCAAACTGCTCTACAACATGGCCATACCAATTTATTTTCCCACTACATGGTATGAAAGCTATTTCACTATACTTAACCAAACTCAGTGTCACCAATCTATTTTGTCTACATGTGTCAATTAAAAGTTTTTTTTTTCATTATCTACCCCAATATTTTAACCATGTTCACTTTATAGAAGGGCAAGCCTACACCAACATTCTTGCTCATTTTTCCTCCCAGATGAAGCAACTTATTAAAATAGAAAAATGGTTGAGGAAAAAGGCA